AGGTAGAGGTAGAGGTAGAGGTAGAGGTAGAGGTAGAGGTAGAGGTAGAGGTGGATTTGGAGTTAAAGTTAGAGTTAGAGTTAGAGTTAGAGTTAGAGTTAGAGTTAGAGTTATTTTAAAAAGCTTCGCTTATTAAATCGGGTCTTGAGTCTTCTCTTGGACCATAAATTTACTCGCGGTATTATGCTATTTTCAAGCATTTTATCCAATAGGCCATAAAATCTGTTCAGTTTAACGGGCGTAATCTCCATATTTTCCAAGTGCCCCATTTAGGATTCATAGTACTAACAGAATTCCTTCAACGGAAAATCTATTCAGCTCATTAATTATGCAAATGTTTCTTCTTCTTCTTATTTTTTTGGCATGTGCCTTACTGAGACCCATTCGACTTCACAATACACCAAAAATTATGTCACCAAAATGCAAATGTCGCGGCACAAGTTTGGGACTAGCTAAAGGGGGAGGGGCGCAGAGCGAGCGGGGTAGTTGGGTATGTGATTAGCAGAAGTTCGGATCCACAGCAAAAGTTGTTAACAAAACTAACAGCCAGTTGGCATATGAGCAACATAACTAGGCTCGAAACAAATTTTTGCCGGGCTTCTGCCTAATGGCGAGCCTGCATAAAATTTGCATGAGATTAAGATTGATAAATGAAGGAGAACGAATGGTGCCCCCATTCTCCACTGAAGTCTAAGGGTTGCGCTGGTAGCAGTCCTTGTTCTGACCTACACATCAGTTGTCAATGGCTTTCAATTATGTGCCAGCTTTAGATTGTGTCGACTTCCGCTGCCTAAAACGAGCACAGACAAGACCCGAGCACTGCTGACGATATATATTCTGTGTGCTGTAAGTTTTGGTCTCTTATTGAGCAGTAAGTACTCGGCCAGTTGTTTGCAAATTTAATAAAGCCAGCGACATATAGATGACAGAACCTGTTGGAACTATGCTGTGGAGGCAGCTAAACCGATTTGCTAAATGACAAGGTTGTCGTGTGAGGCGGGTGACGGGGGGTGAAGCGCGTGGCGGGTGCCTCGCCACCACTCGTCTCTCTAATTACGTGTCGTCGGTGCACGTCCAGAGCCGGGTCATTATGTCACCTGTACGAAAAATGGCGCACGTAAACCGGAAACGAGGCGAGCCAAGTCGACCGGGCCAAACGGCTCATTGTGCGGAAATCGCATTTGGCGCTGATAGCAGCAGCAGCGGTAGCAGCAGCGCCTAACTAACGACCAACTAATACGATTAGTGTCATAATGCCCAGGACTTAAGTATGTCAATAATGTCGCACTTTATTTGCACCACTTGACGCACGGCTCCCTACTCAACCGCCCTGAAAAGGCTGGCATATTTGTCCGGCTCTGAGCAGCTGCTCAAATCTCTAAGTTTTAGCAGTATTTGTTTGAGAAACAGTTTTAGTTGATACTTATCTCTTAATAGCCCAAATAAATAAATAAAAAATACTTTTTAGTAATTATTTCATTTAATCCAATTCTTACAATGCTGGAAATATTTTCCTTTCTGGTTTTTGTAACTGATTCATTTCAATTGACTATCCAATAGGCGGGAAAGGGAAGGGGAACATTTCGAATTATTTAATAATTTTAATCCAACTTTATCTCGTCATGAATAATCTCAAATTTCATGCCATGTTCGTGCTTCTCGAGCTTGCTGATCAGGTCTGTTTTGGCGAAGGCCATGGCAGGTGTCAATACGCCACCAGGGCCAGGAATTTTGTGTCCTTGCCTGAGTAGGGTGACTGCTGCGGCGAGCAGGGCGACACAGGTGCTGCCATAGGCAGGATTCGGGCCAGAGACAGTGAACATTTGGGTTTTGCTGGGCAGCTCGTGGTCCGGATCGTTGCAGTCGCTGGGCCAGCCCGTCGCTTTCAGCACCAGCTTGAAATAGCTGCGCTCCATGTAGGCTTCGGTTGGTCCATTGCGCGATACGTAGCCGGCCGAGAAGAATTCCGGATATTTGAGAAGCAGCTTTCGGCCCAGCTTGAACTTGGCAAGGATCATGAATATAATGCCAAATAGGGCAACGGCAATGGCAATTAGCCAGGAGGGGAAACCAATGTAGGAGAATATCTGGACGGGTCGTTTCTTCTGATAGTCGTAGAAATATTCTTGCGAGCGCTTGACCACCGAGCGATCGGCGCCCATATATGGCAGACACACCTGATTGGTCTCCGGTGAATGAAAGATTAAGGGACGACGTCTCACAATTGGGTAGAACGGGGGCAGGGGCTCGACGAAGGTGCGCTCCCGCAGAGCCTTCAGCTGATCGGAATGCGCCAAGCTGTTCACAGCGCTCACCCAGGTGCCATAGTTGAGGCCAGCTCTACCGGCTTTTGTGTTGGACTTGCATCCCTTGAGACCGTGAACGTAAAATGTCTCCACCGAATTGATCGTGCCATCGAAATGCTGCTCAGCGAAGACGACGCCCATGTCCGCTGGAATAGAATTACAGCCACAAGCACTTATCACGTATACGCCGCACAGCTTGGCGAGGTCGTGGTACTTCAGCTGCATCGACTCGATGTACTGCGGCTCCCCGCTGACGTCCACCAGATGAGCACCGCCCGCGAGGCAGCCCCGAATCACCTCCTCGCCATAGAACCGGAACGGGCCCACCGTACTGACAACGATGCTAGCGGACAAGGCCATTTGTTGCATCGATTTATGATCCCTAATATCGGCAATGATGATGGGTATCTCCGATAGGTCCTGCCCGGCTTTTATACCCATTTCGCTAAGCACCTTCACCAGCTTTTCGCGATTGCGTCCGGCGACGCCCCAGCGCAGGCCTTTGAGCACGGAAACTGCCTCGTATACGGTGTGCTTGCCAGTGAAGCCGCTGGCACCAAATATGACGACATCGAGCCGTCCATCGCGCACTTCATCAGCCATCGAGCAAATGAATGAATTACGAGTGGATGAGAAGTATGTGTTCTAAACAATGTTGTAGAAGGAAATGAGATTGGTTTTGTGTTTTTTGTACCCTATTTTATATGTGTTTCTGAGAATAATTTACAATTGCCACTGAAGTACATTTCAGAGCTGTATTGATTCTGTTTACATTCAAGAATTTTGTTATAGACGTAGATCATAGAAGATTGTAAAAGGCTCGAGATCTCTTGCTAAGTATAACTTGCGTATCAATTTTAATATGATAAATTAAACTCTTAGGATAATTCAGATTTATTGATTAGAAAAGCCTATAGCGATAGGGGGCATGTCTACGAATATATGTTTTTCACAATGTTCCATATATAACTAAACAAAAAGTCAAGAAAATCCTTAAATACAAACCTATAAAGATCTTAGTTTAAAAGCCATATTTAGCCTCTGTTAAAAATAAATTTGTCGCAAAAGCTTTTTTATGATTATTAAATGATAAGATAAATCAAATAAACATAAATATTGCTAACACAAAACTATCATCAATAAAGACTAGCTACCTCAAAGCTCGAGATCTCTGGTTTTAATACCAAACAAAACAAGCTTAATTGATAAGAAATGTCTCTTCTATTTATTACATATATCGACTATATTATTTCCTAATAACAACATATAGTCATACAAATATATATTTATATGATACATTTGTAATACAAATGTAATACACAAATAAAGAATATATTTATACGTCTTAAATATATATATATATATATATATATATATATATATATATATATATATAATATATACAGAAATATTTGTAGCAAAAGTATACATAAATAAAACATCGGCAAATATTGAAAATTTGTTTTATATTTAAACGGATTCTGATTTCTGGACAACATTTGTACTCATCTCAAAGACTAAATTAATATGCGGTTAATACTTAAAATATTACATGGATTATTCAATGTAGCACCTGATGTACGGCTTGACTGCATTCATGGCCATCATTAGCTCGTAGTAGGAGAAGCGCTGATAGCGGTAGTACCCTGGATTCTTGTAGCACTCACTTTTGCCATCGTTGCCGCAGTGTTTTTCTTTCTTTCGTAATTCCTGAAAGCTTTTGGTGGTCACATACGGCAGGGCCTGGACGGCATTCGTTATGAGGTAGGAGGGATCATAGCTAGTGGGCGAATCGTGTTGGCTTCTCGATTTTGATCCTTTGCGGCTTGTCCTCTTGCTGGGTGAATCTTTGGGCTTGGATGACTTGTGTGATAATGCACATTGAGTTTGGCCGGTGCACTGCCGTAGAACCGTGCTCGACATTAATCCACTGCGTGTCAACATTTTTGTCTTAGTTTTTAGGAATTTTAAAATCTAAAATATTTAAATAAAATTTACACAAATTTAAAATCGAATTTTGATATACCACAATGCTGAATATTCTGAAATATATGATTTCATTTGAAAACAGTTGAAGTTAATGTCAAATTGAATTGACATTTATGTAAGGGAATAAATCGATTGAGCAGTTTTCAAAGAGTTGTTTAGAGTTTTTGGTATATCGACTTCGGTTTGTCCTTAAGCTGAGATCGTTTGATGTTAAGTAATAGATTTCACCGTTCGTAATTGAAGCTGAGAGTTTTAAGCCTTTATGATCGTTTTATTCGTTTCGTTTCAGTTGTCCAATATTTATTCCTAATAGCTATCTGGTTAGCTCTTTAGGCTTGATTCGTCGCAGCGCTCTTAACTTGAACCCGACGGAGCCCACAAACTGATTGCGGCAAACTTTCAGCAATTTCTTTACAAAATCACACGCACACACGCTCTTACACACATATACACACAACAAAGTTCGGCAAATTATGGCGGAAAATTACCTTAACGAAAGAGCTTCCGCAACTGTATAACCTTTGTGGCACAACTGTACCCGGTCAGTTATGTGGCATGGGCACACACTTGCCTGCGAAAGTTGTGGAGCTGCTGAGAGCGGGACAGGGTGAGGGGATGACGGAGAGTAGCAGGGGGCAGGATTTTGTATTTGCTGCGCTGGCAGTAGTATAACCCAAAACAAAAGCAATTAGATGACATCGGCGACGTTGCCATTTGTTTGGCTCTGATTCGGATTGTGCGGGTGTAGCACGTAGAGTGAGCGAGAGAGGGAGAGAGAGACAGTGTGTGAGAGAGAGGGAGTGCGCAAGTGGAACAAGGAAGAGACACACTAAAAAGTTTACCAGCGCGATTTTCTTGCTGAAACTATAAATTTACAAGCCGCAATGGCGACGCCGTCGTTGCCGCCAGCGTACCGTTATGTGCGCCATCTTTTTTGGGTTTGAGTGTGAATTTCTGTCTCTGCGTGTGTGTATGTGTGTGTGTGTGTGTTTCAGTGTATTAAAAAGCATTCAAGTGAACCTGTGCCGTGTTTCGTGTCTCGGCTAGCTGTGAGCTGACAATTTTCCGGTGCTTCAACGTTTATTTTGTTGTTGTTGTTGTGGATTTTTATTGCTATGTTTGTTGTTGTTGTTAGTTTTAAAAACTTTATTTTGGCAAGATTGGGCGGAACGGGTGCGCAGCTGGCTGATTGTCGAGGTTTAACGTTTCGGGTGTTGAGCATTTATCTCAACGCCCTCAAAGTTCTACAACTGGGTTCCCAACAACAACAGCAAGAACAGCAATAACAACAACAATGCGATTTTAAGTGCGAATAAGTTTAATGATCAAAATAATTCAACGTGTGTTAGTGTTTTGGCTTCAGCTTGTTTATGTCTGACTTCAAACTGGGTCGAACTTAACTTTATAGCCGGCTTAACTCGTTCGTTATATAGACATACGAACGGTTTATATCCATCTACTTATGTGGAACCAAAGATACGACTGAAGTATGTTAAGAGTGTTAAGGATAACATGTTGAAAAGTTGTTGACTTTGTATTCGCATCGCTCAATTGTCACAGAGGAAAGTGCAATAATTTTATATGCTTTAATATTTTGATACGATAATAAGTCTTTTTACATCAGATGCACGACAGGGTGTATGAAGAGTATATTTTGAACTATTATTCTTCTTTTCTCATTATGAAGATAAAAATCGGCCATTGTCCTATTGGGTTTCTCATGCTAAATTGAGAAGAGCTCAAGTTCCCTACACATTGCTGGAATAATATGGTATATATAACTCTGAAATGCTATCGCTTGAAGCTCTGTAACTATTTGAATATGGATATACCATATGTAATATCTTGTGTATAGTATTAATATAAACCTAGTGCAAGTCTAATATTGCGAGCTGTTCTCATTCATATATTTTCAAATTCAAAGCATGCTATGCTTTTTTTTTTTGCAACTTAATCAAAAATAAAACAATAAATATTATTTGCCTGTAAATTTTCAGAATGCCGATATGTGAACTAAAGCCGATTTCTCGTCAATTATTACTGTGCACGGACTCTCAGATTCGAAACCAAATCCAATTGTATATCCTACGCCATTATGCCAAGTGTAACTGCGACTGCGAGAAGACGGGCATTTGCAAGTGCAGCGTGGACTGTGAGTGCCGGCTAAGGAGGAAGAAGGTCAGTCGGTTGGGGCCCAAGACAATTTGTTGTCGCGATCCGCCGTCAAACTATGCGCCCAAATGCCTGGCAACGAAGGCATTTGAAATACCAGAATTTATAAGTCCTAAAGCATTTCGGACCATGAAGCCGGACGAACAGCTAGGTCCGCGGGCGGGCAAGTCGAAAGAGTATAAAAATCCAGAGTTTTTCAGCTATCATTACTTGTCGTACTACGAGCTAAAAATGGCCACAAGAAAGGCCAAGGATTTGTTCGAAGGAAAGAATCCTTAGGTTCTTATATACTAGTTAATATGTTTGACACCAGATGGACAGACGAGCATGCATGTACGTATAAATTCCGGTGTGGGAATTATTTTACTTTAGCTAAATAATCTAATGACAGTCCGGAAAGAATTATTAAAAAAAAAAACTGATGGATAACATAACATTAAAAATTTGTTGTTGCAAAAAATATAAAAGTTTTTATTCATTAAAAATAAAAAAGAAGGGAAAAACTAAGTGAGAAAAATAATTATAAATAAGCATAAATTCTCAACTTAAGATTATAAAAAAAAACAAGTAAGAAAGCTCTAGTCGAGACTGCTCGACTACGAGATCCCCTGAACCCTACAA